AGATTAAATTCACAATAGGATTTCCTTAGGGGATTCTAATGTTAAATAAAGAGTCTTTGCTGTTATGGTAGATAACTTGACTTTGCCATGTGTTGTTTTACTTTAGAGCTCAGATAAATGTAAAAATAATTCTTACAAAATTTTAAAGCATTTGCCAAGGAAGAAAGAGTTTGCCATGTTCCCTGAATCATGAGTTCATCTACCAGGATGAAGAGCTTGTTTACAGAGCTCATAACCCATGCAAGTTTGATATGAATGTGTATGATAAGGCATGTGTGTGTGTAAAATATATGAGAGCCAATGTGAAATGAATGTGAACATCTACCATCCATATTGCTACCCATCCCCTGGTACTTATTAATCTTTATGCTAATTGATTGTGATAGAGACAGGGAGTGGAGTATACTAGAGAGATCCAGAAATAGTGAACCATGGGTTGAAGTCATGGATGTTGAATGCATCATGGAGGAGGGAGGGTGTTCCGTCGGCCGAGGGACCCCCATAGAAGTCGTGGTGGGGAAGGGGAGATACGGGGAAGGGTGACCTTTAATTCGGCCTAGGGATCGTGGAACAACATTAGTAACTCCAAACCGGTCTCCTGATTTGGTAAGTTGGTGTAACCAGGATGGCGGCCCCTCCGGATTGAAGGTGGTGCTGTTGAACGCCAGGTCAGTCAATGGTAAAACAACTTTCATCCAGGATTTAATCCTGGATGAACGGGCAGATCTGGCGTGCATAACGGAGACCTGGCTGGACGAAGCTGGAGACGTGAATTTGACCCAGCTTTGCCCGCCAGGTTTCTCTGTGCAGCACCAACCGAGATCCGGAGGGTGGGGAGGCAGAGTTGCAGTGGTCTATAGAGATTCCATCCCTCTGACCAGGGGCCCCATCCCACAGTCAACAAATTTTGAATGTGTCCATCTGAGGGTGGGTGACCGGGACAGAATAGGGATTCTGTTAGTGTACCATCCACCTCGCTGCACTACAGTCTCCCTGCCTGAGCTAGCGGGGGTGGTCTCAGACTTGGCATTGGAGTCCCAACGGCTGCTTGTGCTGAGGGACTTCAATGTCCATGCCGAGGCCGCCCTATTGGGAGCGGCTCAGGACTTCATGTCTGCCATGGCAACCATGGGGCTGTCCCAACAGGTATCTGGCCCCACTCACAGTGCAGGACACACATTGGATCTGGTTTTCTGCCAGGGATGGGAGGAAGGTGGCGGTGTTGAGGAGTTGTCCATCTCTCCGTTGCCATGGACCGATCACCACCTGGTCAGATTTAGACTCACTGCACCCCCCAACCTCTGCAGAGGTGGAGGACCCATTAAGTTGGTCCGCCCCAAGAGGCTTATGGATCCTGATGGATTCCTGACGGCTCTTGGGGAGTTTCCCGCCACCTCGGTAGGTGATCCTGTTGATGCCCTGGTCGCTCTCTGGAATGGGGAGATGGCTAGGGCAATAGACACGATTGCTCCTAAACATCCCCTCTCAAGTAGCCGAGCTAAACCTGCCCCTTGGTTTACTGAGGAGCTGGCAGCGATGAAGCAAAGGAAGAGGGAACTAGAGAGCGTGTGGCGTTTGGATCTGAGCGAGCCAAATCAAACACGGTTTGTGTCCTTTTTAAGGGCATATGCCGCGGCAATAAAAGCCGCAAAGAAAGCTTTCTTTGCGGCCACTATTGCGTCTGCAAAGAACCGTCCGGCTGAATTGTTCCGAGTTGTCAGAGGCCTTTTAAAACCCACCACTCAGGATGGGAGCCCTGGCGATTCGGCAGCTCGCTGTGAAGCCTTTGCTCAGTTCTTTGCAGACAAAGTCGCTTTGATCCGCTCTGGTCTGGATACCATATTAACGGCAGTCTCTGAGGATGTAACATGAGCATCTGCTTGTCCAGTTTTGATGGATTCATTTCAATTGGTGAAACCCGAGGATGTGGACAAGGTGCTTGGAGGAATGAGGGCAACCACATGCATCCTAGACCCCTGCCCATCCTGGCTTCTAAAGGAGGCCAGAGGGGGATTGGCTGAGTGGGTAAAGGTGGTGGTTAATGCCTCCCTTCGGGAAGGCATAATTCCAGCCAGCTTAAAACCGCTGTTGAAAAAACCATCACTGGACCCCACTCAATTCGTCAACTATCGGCCTGTTTCCAATCTCCCCTTTTTGGGCAAAGTCCTGGAACGTGTGATGGCCTCACAACTCCAGGCATTCTTGGTAGACACAGGTTATCTGGATCCGGCACAGTCTGGCTTTAGGCCGGGACATGGTACCGAGAACAGCCTTGGTCGCCTTAGTGGATGATCTGCGCCGGGAGCTCGACAGGGGGAGTGTGTCCCTGTTGGTGCTGCTGGACCTCTCAGCGGCCTTCGATACCGTCGACCACGGTATCCTTCTGGGATGCCTCGCAGGGATGGGTCTTGGAGGTACTGTTTTGCAGTGGCTCCGGTCATTCCTGGAGGGCCGGTCTCAGAAGGTGTTACTGGGAGACACCTGTTCAACCCCACAACCTTTGTCTTGTGGGGTTCCTCAGGGCTCAATATTGTCTCCCATGTTGTTTAACATCTACATGAAGCTGGGGGAGATCATCCGGAGTTTCGGGGTACGGTGCCATCTGTACGCAGATGATGTCCAACTCTGTCACTCCTTTCCACCTGCTACTAAGGAGGCTGTCCAGGTCCTGAACCGGTGCTTGGCCACTGTGACGGTCTGGATGAGAGCGAACAAATTGAAACTGAATCCAAACAAGACAGAGGTACTCCTGGTTAGTCGAAAGGCTGAACAGGGTATAGGGTTACAGCCTGTGTTGGATGGGGTTGCACTCCCCCTGAAGACGCAGGTTCGCAGCTTTGGTGTGATCCTGGACTCATTGCTGAGCCTGGAACCCCAGGTTTCGGCGGTGACCAGGGGAGCATTCACACAGTTAAAGCTTGTGCGCCAGCTGCGCCCGTACCTTGGGAAGTCTGACTTGGCCACGGTAGTCCACGCTCTGGTTACATCCCGTTTAGACTACTGCAACGCTCTCTACGTGGGGTTGCCTTTGAAGACGGCTCGGAAGCTCCAACTAGTCCAACGTGCGGCAGCCATGATACTAACAGGAGCGGAGCGCAGGGAGCATACAACTCCTTTGCTGCACCAGCTCCACTGGCTGCCGATTTGCTACCGGGCTCAATTCAAAGTGCTGGCATTGGCCTATAAAGCCCTAAACGGTTCTGGCCCAAGCTACCTATCCGAACGTATCTCTGCCTACGAACCCACCAGGACTCTAAGATCTTCTGGGGAGGCCCTGCTCTCGATCCCGCCTGCATCCCAAGCACGGCTGGCGGGGACGAGGGACAGGGCCTTCTCTGTGGTGGCCCCCCGGCTGTGGAACACCCTTCCCATGGACATTAGATCAGCTCCTACGTTAATGGTGTTTCGAAGGAAACTAAAAACCTGGCTGTTTGAACAGGCATTCGGATAAACAGTGCAATGAATATGATGAATATAGGAACGGAATTACGGACGATGAATTGGATCACGATTCTAGTGACGAGACGTTAAGGTGTTGTATTGATGTGTCATTACTTTGTATACTATGCTGTTAATGGTTTTTAAATTGTATGCTGTTATGATTGTCTTTTTGCTCTTGTTGTGAACCGCATTGAGTCGCCTACGGGCTGAGAAACTGCGGTATACAAGCAAAGTAAATAAATAAATAAATAAATAAAATGTTGGACTAGGTGATTACAGTCTGAGTCTGATCAGCTGCTGAAATCCACTGAGTCGTTTTGAGCAAATCACACTCTCTTAGCCTTACCTGGAAAGCTTCCTCCAAATGTAGATTACTAGGAAACCCCTGTGATGGGGTTACCATAACTTGGAATTTCCTTGAAGAAACATAAAGAGGAAATGGGTTTTGAAACACATAGCAGGATACAATCATAGATTTCCTGTGGTAAAGTAACATATTTCTATGGAATGAGGGTTATTTTCCTTCTTCCCTGCAGCCTCAAAACTTGATATAAAGAGTTGGAAAACCCTCTTGTGTTGCAGGGGAGTGAAGGGGGAGAAAGTATCTTTTGGTTTAATGTATTGAAGGCTTAATCACTGGGTTGTTGTAGGTTATTCAGGCTATATGGCCATGTTCTAGAAGCATTCTGTCTTGACGTTTCTCCTGCATCTATGGCAAGAATCCTCAGAGGATGTGAGGTCTGTTGGAAATAGGAAAACTGGGTTTATATATCTGTGGAATGTTCCAGGGTGGGACAAAGAACTCTTGTCTGTTGGGGCTAGGTGTGCATGTTTTAACTTGATTAGCATTTGATGGCCTGGCAGTTTTTTGGTGGGGCTTGTTAGTGCCTGGGGGATTCCTTTTTTTCCACATATATATAAACCCACTTTTCTAGTTCCAACAGACCTCACAACCTCTGAGGAGCTTGCCATAGATGCAGGTGAAATGTCAGGAGAGAATGCTTCTAGAACATGGCCATATAGCCCAAAAAACCTACAACAACCCTATCCTTCGATTATCGGTATATTTTAAACTTTTAAATGTGGTGTTGAATTATCACAAGGTTACATCATGACAGAAGGCCTTAACAGTTAGACTTCTGCTAGCTTTTGGAGTGACCTTTTGTTTTCAAGCAATGCATCTGTTTGATGTGAACAGGTAGATTTTTTTCCTCAACATGACAGACCAGCAGCATATTTGTGTCTATCCGCTGCAATTGTTTCTTTTTTTTCTTGGAAACTCACTGGGGCCCAGCAACTAATAGTTCAAGGACCAGGAATAGTCCTTGGACCACCACTTTGTACTTAGGAATATTATACAGAATAGATTAAATGGATGCAATATTAAAAATAATATTGGTAAATGTCACAATAAGCCTTTCAGCACAGAATCAGATTGCTGCATTAAGTTTGTGCTCACAACTTCTAAAATTAGGTTTCTCTCTGCATAAACTATACTGCTATACATAAATAATTGTCACAAGCATTGTTAACAAGCTTTTTTCTTCTCTTGTTTACAGATACAGTAGCAGAAAGAAGTGCATTACGAGAGCATGTATATCCTAAACTGCGGGAATTCTGCAGGGAAAATTATGGACTAGAATTTCAGGTAGAACTTTGTTCCTTAAATATTTGAATATCCATGCTCATACATTCCCTTAAAGATCCTATATTCAACAGTGTTATAACATTGAGTGCAGAATATTTTTAAAGGCATGTTCCATTCTCATGCAAGAACACTGCCCATGTGGGAAGAATTGACATGGGCTTCTCTGTTCTTTCTTTATTCCCTTTTGTTGACTGATTCTTAGCTGCAAACATAGCATTGTGCAATGACCATTACTTGCAACTGGAAAAAATATCATGCCCGTCTATACAAACACATATTCCCATGAAGACTGTACTTGTCTCTATATAATTGAAACTTTGGTTGTATGGGGATGGATCTTATGTAACAAGAATCCAAAAATTGACACAAGAGGGTCAATTTTGATGTTTTATACTGTTTTTATTGATGGCATTGAATAGTTGCCAACAATAAACTGCCCTGAGAAGGACATAATACAAATACTGCATATAAATAAATAAATAAATAAATAAATAAATAAATAAATAAATAAATAAAATTTCATCTAGATGTTTCACTCAATCAATTTATATTAATTATTATTAAATTTTGATGAGACTTGTGTCTTAGTGAAGCTGTTATTAATATACTTACAAATGGATGTCACAGTGTAATATCACCTGTTTTTCATAGTATGGGTTCAGTAGGTAAAAGGAATGTGCATTCCTGTATGCATAAACCATATTTCACAAATGTGTATCTCATTAAAGTCTCTCTAGCTATCAAAGCTACTTTAATATTGTCAACTTCAAGTTAGGGTAATCCTATCAACAAGAGACTTCCAATATCACCCTGCCATAGTCAGTGTACCTGAAAACAACTAATTTCAGAAGCTAAACAAGATCAGGTTGGCTAATACTTATATGAAAAAATACCAGATAACAGCAATAATTCCCAGTTGAGGCTGTGAATTCCTAGAGATCTACTGCAAGTCTGAATGGATGATACCGGCCTAGAAGGAGTCAGAATAATTTTAACCATCCTGAGTTTAAAAATGGATTCAATTGCTAGCACAAGGTTCAAAATTCTGGTGTGTGCATAATATCACTTCCATTCACACATGTTGTTTGCATCCAAAGTGTTTGCACACAGGACAAATGGCTTTCACTTTGAAATAAATGCCATATGTTCTTATTTTAGGCTAGAGCTACTTATCAAAGGAAATATTCTTATGATATAAGCGGTGAGATATTTTGCCTTCCAGATAATGCTGTACCACAACTCCTAGGATTCCTGTTGGTGATAAGTACTATGTCCCAACAACATCTTGAAGGCCACCTACTACTCTTTTGCTAGTAGATTAACAAAGAAAATAAAAGCCCATTTAAATCCACCAAAGGCCTATTTAGAGGCCAATCCACATAAGTTTGAGAGGCTTGCAAATAGGATAAAAGTATAACTTACTCTCACCATTATGCTCTAGTGAGTGGTCTCAGATGTGTACAAACTTTAACCATGTATATAAGCATGTAGAGCTTTAATGATCATATCCAATAATTTATGTTTTGCCCAAAAATTGGCAAGCAGTGGAGTGATTTTAGTGTAAGTGCAATATGCTCACCCCTAGGGCTTCCTTAACCAATCTGTCTGCCATGCTTCGAACTGGAGTTTCCAAACTTAATACAGAGGTAGCCCAATGTACAGTGCATTTCAGAATTCCAACCTTCATGTAACTAGCATGTAAATAGTATCCATATTTAGAAAGGGGTGCAGCTGCTGTATCAGCCTGTTTTGTGTGCCAGTCTGTTGCTGTTGGTACTGGACATAAGTGTTTGAATCTGACATTTAGCCATTGTAATTTACTGAGTGATCTGACACAAGTCACACGCAGTCTGAAATGAAGACAATGCCAAACTCTCTAAATAAATCTTGTCAGGAGAATCTTTGGAGATGATTCCCATAGGTCAGAGTAGACGTGATGGCACATGTTTTCCTTCTTCTCCTATTACTTGTTCTTCTGCCAAATTCTTCCCCCATCTCTGGAGATTTCCTGGTGCATACCAATGTTGTGCCAGGAAGCAGGGGGAGGAACAATTCCCCCCTCCTCTAGCGCAACATTAGTATGCACTAGGAAGCCTCCAGAGAGGCATAATGGAGGCCTGGTAATTTTTTTTTAATTTTAAGGCTTTTGGGGAGAGGGGAACCCCCCCCCCCCCCCGTCAGGGGTTGAGAAGGGCGGGGTGGAAGTATACGAAATAAATAAATAAATAACATTGGTGAGGGGTCGGTTCCCTCCATGCTTCTCCAGGCTCACATGGCTCATGGGGCTCAAAGAAGCAAACTGGGCCGTGTGAACTGACCCCTCAGTAGTCCCAAAACTACCCAGGGGTCAGTCTCCACAAAGCCTATACTCCAATAGACCCAGGCCTTTCAGGAAGACCTGGGTCTACTGGAGTATTTAAATAATTTGTGACAAAGCAGAGTTTTCTTACTTTTTGACTAATTATTCCTCTTTTACCAGAGGCATTGTTTGGAATTCTCTGTTAAAAACACAAGAGCTTGTGCATTTTGGGCCTTGTCTGGATGAGCCCTGAGATTTGCTGTGAGAGATAGTGTCAGGATTTTTTACATCTTCTTACAAATACATTTTTTACATCTTCTTACAAGTAAACTCAGCCCTTTGCCCATTTTAAACTGCATGGAAAATGATTGCCTGGATGCAATCTTAGAAGAGTTCCCTAGATTCCCAAACAGTAGAGTTTTCATTGTGGTTTTGACAAAGCCTTAGCCAATGCATAAGCCTGAATATTCAGTAAAGCCTCCTCAGGGCAACTGACAATACACATGCAACTACTAGCCATTTTGTTTACATTTTCTGAAATTAGGTCATGAATGTGACCAGTCAGATATTTTTCCCCTTACTGCATGAATAGTTTCAAGCTCCTCAGAAGATGAAATATAAAATTGTAAAGGAAAGGTCTAAGAGTACGTTGCATCCATGAACTGCCTCTGTGTTTTGTATGCCAGTCTGCGCTGTTGGTAGAATTTCAACAGTACCCAAGAAACAAAATGCAGGGTTACCCTCAGGCATCCTGTCTAAAGTAAGAGACTAGACAAACAAGGGAGGTGAAAGGAAATGGTAGAGGAGGAATCTTGATTTGAGAATAGCAGAACAAAGAGGTGACTTATTAACAGGCATTTAAACACAGAGCATAGCTTACACTGGTGATGCAAGGTAAAACAAGCTGTTGGTCTTCTAGTCTCTGGCTTGAAGGCAGTTTCTTTCCTCCCGCTTCTAAAAATACTTGGTAACTGACACTTGTAGCAGAAATCTTTCTAGAATAGAGAATCAGTTAACATTTCTCTGTTGGTAATATTTTTTAAAATTGCATGGTTCTTTCCAGGCAAGCAGGAATTATCATAACAAAAAAAATCAGAGATATGCTTTTCTTTCTACATTTCTGTATTTTTTACCATTTGACTCATGGATCAGATCTTGGACTCAGTTGTTGTTCTGCAACTTCATATAATTTTTGATTCTGAGGCAAATCTATCACAGAGGCTTTTTTGGTGAGGTTAACACAAAGGAGTTTTGTCCTTGCCTTCCTCTGAGGCTGAATAAGTGTGACTTCCACAAGGTCGTTCTGTTTATTTCCATGACTGAGTGGGGATTTGAACCCAGTATCCAGAATATCTAATTTATTTTTCTTTGCTTTTACAAAAGTAAGGCTTTACTATTATTGCAGATTTTAAAATGAAAGATGGGTGTTGGTTTAAAATCAAATAAGGACTACAAATATAGTGATGACGCAAATATGTCAGCATCTTTATCAGGACTGTGTAGCAATGCAATCTTACTTTTACTCTGAAGCAAATACAGTGAATTTATTCTAAAGCATACACTCTGGGCCACTGATTCCCAGATGGGCAAACACTGATGTGTATCCTCAGACAGTGTTTCAAGTGAAAGGGGGGGGGGCTCAGTTCTCCTTTTGCCTACTTTAAATGGAAATGCAGATTGTTATTCTCCCTCAGAGTGGTCCAGTTTCCACAAACGCCTCTCCTGTGTTGACTTGTAGCAGAGATAGGTCCAGGAAGTGACATCGTAGTATTGGGGCTTGTTTTATGCTACCACTGGCGTTATTTTAAATGTTTTAGGAGAGTGATAGGGACCCCTGCTTTGGGGTTTTGTAAACAGAGGCTGAATGGCCATCTGTTCAGAGTGCTTTAATTGATGTATTCCTGAATGGCAGAATGGGGTCAGTCTAACTGATCCCTGTGGTCCCTTCAACTCTATGGTTCTAACTGGTTTTAGGTTTTTGTTGTTAATTGCTATCAAATCAGCTTCAACTCAGGGTGACCCTATGAATAAGTGACCTCCATCTCTACCCTACCATCCTCAGTGTGTCTGAATTCTTTCAATTTCAGAAGCTAAATGGGATGAAGCCTAGCTAATACTTCTATGAAAGACTACCAAATAATGGCTGAGCTGGGGAAACAATCCTGAGTAAATTCCTGGAGACCTTCTGTCAGAATTTACAGTTCTAGTTTAGAGAGAGCAATGTTATGAGTCAGGATAACTCCCTCAACGGGTTTTCCCAGCTAATCTTTAGCCATCCTAAATTTAAAAAATGGATTCAACTGAGAGCAAAAGGCTGGTGTGTGGATGATACCACTTGTATTCATGCATGTTTTCTGCAGCCAGAGTGTTTGTGAACAGCACAAATGACTTTCACTTTGAAATGGGTGCCATCTGTTCTCATTTTAGGCTAGAGCGATTTACCAAAGCAAATGGGACGTTTGCTCCCAGATGGGCACATACAGATAGCTTCAGTCGGTTTTGCAAGTAGAAAAGAAGAAAGAAACAACTTCTCTCTTCATCCACTTCTGGTGGAAAAGCAAATCTTTCTCCTCTCAGAAAAATCCAGTCTCCACAAACACTTCCCTTGCTATCCTATAGCACAGATAGTACCAGGAAGTTACATCCTAACATTTGGGCTTGCTTTATAACTACTGTGGGCAGTATTTTAAATACTTTTAAC